ACTTGCTTAATTTTTCCTTCAAGTATCTCTTGGGCCTTTTCTACCTTTTTAAGACAACTTGCATTATCTTGCTTTATGTTTTTAGCTCTAGCTCGAGTGTAGTACTGGTGTTGAGCTATCCTTGAACTTTGATTTTCCATAATTATAGTGCAAATTTAGAATGATGTTTATGGAACCATCAAATTATGCATGAGAATGAATGCAGTGATGCATGAATGCATGCATACACAATAAAAAAAGGGTTAGTAAGCAATAAATGCAATCTGCATGTATGTTTATGAATATGCACAAGAAGAAAAGAAATAAAAAGAAGACAAAAAAATTGGTTAGTTGCCTTAATAAAAAAATAAAGAATAAACATTATAAAGCAAGTAAACTAATGACATGACCCTAAATTTTAGGTTAACTATAGAGGGTGGAAGGACATGGTTCTATTTATGGTTAGGCTTTTAAAGTTAACTATATGCGGTTTGGATTACATTTAAAAGGTTCTCAAATCATTCTTTACGTCATTGTCCATTACATACTAGTAAGGCACACCGATCCTCACCCATTATAGGCTACAAACAAAAAATGTTCAATTTGAGTGGGAGTGTTTCGTAGGCCCATGCAAAGACATGAAACCTCATGAGGGCATAGGTACTTCACTCCCTCCAAAGGTAGAGCTCAAGTGGAAAGCTTTATGTTATGTACATGCAAATGAATGACAAATATATACAATAAATAAATGAATAACTAAGTAAATATAAGCAATGAAAAGAAATAAATAAAAAAAAATAATCTCAAATTTATTAAACAAGGCTTTGATAATAAAAAATTATTTATTGGCCTAACTCTCGATTTTCCTAGTGAAGTTGCCAAAGTGTCATAATGTATGGATCTATAGACCTATCGCTAGCCATGGATCAGAAGAGTCGCCACCAATCTTTTTTGTTTAGGTATGATTAGCTATTTGATTGAATCTGTCCTATTTAAAGAGAAGTCCCAAGATTGACTTAGGCATCTTTAAATAATAGATTTTGATCTACGAAACCAGAGTTTAGGTTTAGGAGTACGATTATGTCTAAGGAAGGTTATAACACCCTCACAACGCCCATCAAAAGATGGCATCAATTTGGTCTCAAATTATTCAAGCCTTGAAAATGTTTATATTTTACCAAAATATTTAATATTGAGACTTAATCTTAAAATCACCCCAATAGTTTGGTAGTAATTTAAGATAATTCTCTCACCTCAGGGGTATTCATGGAGACTAGTATCCCACTCTGAAGAGGCTCCGTCATCGGATTTGTTAAGATTGTTTTTTTAATTTTAGAAATATTAATGAAGTCTCCCAATAATTTGGTAGGAGTTACTTTGAAGCAGATCTCACAATAATTTGGTAAGATTTTATTGTAAAAAGATTTGTAAAAATTTTGTGAATCTTATTAAGTCTCTTAATAGTTTGCTAGTATTTAATTTGAAAAATAATCCTCAAATAGTTGAGAGGATAAAAATTATTTATTTATTTATTATTTTTTTTGAAAATTGATTTATGAAGGTAGACACTTTAATTAGTTTGGGCCCAAACCCATTGAGTCTAGCCCAACAGGGTTTGAACCTAAGCCATTAGGCCTAGTTTAAAGGGGTTAGATTGGCCCAATTTTTTTGGTTTATTTGTTATTCTGAATTTTATTTTAATTATTTATTTTTTTATAATTTTAGGAGATAATAATTTAAAAAAAGAAAAGAAGAAGGTTCTGCCGTGGATTGGACTAGTGGTAGAACCATGGTTAAATTAAACTTCTATGGCATAAGGTAGAATTATGGTCAAAGTGGGAGTTAGAATTAATCAAAAATTCTTCTGATTAAATTCTATAAATGCCCATTGATCAGAGAGGAGAGAGACACCAAAAAAAATAAAAAACACAGCAAGCAGAAAGCATAAAAAAAATTTCAAAGATTTTTGGGTTAAAAAAAAAAGGGTTTTTTTTTAAAAATCTGAAAAAAATCCCCAGTTTCTAGAAAATTTTTGGAAAATTTCCAGTTTTCATTGAATTTTTTGGTGAATTTTTTAGTGATTTTTTCAACACCATTTGAATTTTTCGATAGAAATTCTAGAATCTGGTGAAGATTTCGATGAAAGTTAAATTTTTCGGTGATTGTCCGACGACCGAACTTAGATTTCGATGATATTCCCTAGAATTCGATCGAAGTTCAACCGGAGTTCATCCGGATAGGAGAGAAAGAGAGAAAAGAAGGTGGAAGAGAGAGAAGGGGAAGAAGAATTTTGCTGAAAAGGTTGAGATTTAGCCTTATATACCCATTGAAAATGACATCGTTTTGTGTCTAAATAAATCCCAAGATCTGTGCATTTTCTAGCGAGCGACCTGACCCACGCGTCAACCCGGTTCTGTGACCCACGTCCTAGTTGAATCTCGTCGCTGAGCCGAGTGGAGCCATACCCTCGAGCCGCACTTTCTAGCCAGTTTTTGTGTCTACAGCCAAGTCGTTTTAAGCCCTTAAACCGTGCCATTTTTTGTTTTCTTTGGTATTTTTTTATTTATTTTATTTAGTATTTTTTTCCTTCATGATTAAATTTAGAAAAAAATATAAAATATAAAATAAAATTTGAGAATAAATATTAATTATCCAATGATGGAATTTATAGAAATTTCAAATGGTAAATTTCTATAAAATTTCTAGGTGTGAAATTTTTGTCTAAATTTGTCCCAAATGGTAGAATAATTTAGATAAAGTTTCAATAACAATAATTAATATTTATTTTCTAACAAAAAAAAATAAAAAATAAAAATTTGGGTTGAAAATATTTGACAATTATCTAAGGATGAGATTTTTAGAAATTTCAAATGGTAAATTTTCTAAGAAATCTCTAGGTGAGAAATTTTCTTTAAATTTGTCCCAAATGGTGGAATAATTTAAATAAAATTTAAATAAAAATAATTGTCATATTATTTTCTTTCCGAAAAAAAAGAAATAAAAAGAATTTCTAAATAAGCCAAAATGGTGAAAAATTTAGAAATTCTGAAAAAAAATATATTTCTAAATTGACCCAAATTGTGAAAAATTTAGAAATTAAAAAAAAGAGAAATAAAATGAATTTCTAAATAGGCTCAAATGGTGAAAAATTTTAAAATTTTGAAAAAGAAAATATTTCTAATTTGGCCCAAATGGTGGAACAATTAGATATATTTTCGACAATATAAAAATAATCATAAAAAAATCTTTCCGACGATGGAGCCTCTTCAAGTAATTAAATAGGATTCTTGAATACTCTTGAGGTAAGAAAATATTTTTAAGAATTCAACAAGATTGATGGAAGAATCTTAAGAATTATTTTCAATATTTGAACATTAAATATTAAAACCATTACATCAAGACCATAAGATAAATTTGAAATAATATGGTACCATCCTTTGGATGGGCATGTGGGGGTGCTATAACCTTCCTCACATGTAATCGAACTACCGAATCTTATTTTGGTTAGTAGACTCAAATCTATTCTTTTAGGGACCCTTAGTCAAACTTAGGAGTTCCTTAAGATGATAGATTCCTTAGGTGGCTAATCACACTAAGTAAAAAAGATTGGTAGTGACTCCATTAATTTGTTTAGTCTAGCTATAGATTTACGAATCTATATGTTATGACAATGGAATTTACCAATAGTTTGGTGGATTCCATTTTAAAAATTAAATCCATGAAAATTCTCCAATAGTTTGGTAGAATTCATGAACTTATTTTGTAAGAATTTTTATTTGAAAAAAAAAAGATTTTTTATTTATTCTTTTAAACTTATTTGAAAAAGGTTTTTTATTTATTTCATAAATAAGTACCAAAAAAATCATAAAAATAAGTATTGTATTTTTTTTCAATTTAAAATAAGAAATAATAAGAGTAAATAAAAATAAACAAAATAAGAAAAATAGAATCAAAGCAGAAAATGGAATGAAAAAGGGAAAGAGAATACTTGCGATTGGGTCGGGTTATGCATGGTAAATCATACAGATTTAGATGCCTCAAATTTTAGGCTTTTTCTTCAGAAGTGTTTGAGTATGTCTCTCTTTCTAAAATTACTATTCTTCTATCTTCTCTCTAATTAATTTATAGGTGCCTAGAAATTGAGGAATAAATCTCAAAAGTTGACAAAGAATTTCCCAAACCCAACAAATTGTCTAGAAAACTAAACCCAGAAATCCTTAGAATGCAAAACCCAACAGAAATTCAAACCCAAAAACACCAAATCCTAATTCTAGAAAATCTAAACAAACCAATCCCAGAATTTAAAACCTTTTGGTTGCTAAATAAATTTCTCTATTTTCTCTCAAGAGTTTCTGTATAATCTTTTTTTTCTAAATCTCCCCTTTTTGCTTTGATCACATATTTATATAAGAATTCATGCTCAATCAATTCCCCTTAAATCTATGATTTTATTTGATTTCCGTTTTAATAAGAGTTGATTCTGAAATCAAATATAAAAAATCTCTCGCTATCATTTTAATGTAAATGGATTATGGAATTAAATCCCGATAATCTCTACACATCATTTTTAATGCCAATTGATTTTGGAATTAAATTTCAAAAATCTCTCAATTACGATTGAAGCTTAATTCTAAAAAAAAAAATCTCAAAAAAAATGAGGTGTCTAAAACACATTTATCTAGATTTTTTACTATATATTATTATTTATAAATATTTTAAAAAAATCGACCCTCCCAGATCTTAGGATCCCTTTCTGTTCCCTAAATATTTACAAAGAGCAAATATAGTAATAATAAAAAAAAGAAAAACAGATTAGCAAATATAGAAGAAAGCCGACTAAGGCTAAATTCATTGCAATTGAAACTGATGACAATAATATTAAGCGATAGCTGAACTTACACTCAAAACATACACGCTTACAGCTATACCCTTTTTTTTTTTGCAAGCCAATAAATGACAATATATCAATGGAGCACTCAACCATGCCCATCATATTCAAACCTGTTGAAGCAGTCCCCTCCTTAAGTTGCAAAGAGACCGGGAGTAAATCGTGCAACTGGAACACACTCCAGATCTTGGGCTCTTGGAGCTGTGAGTCCAGGCCGCTCACTCATGTCAACAACACCACCAATATTCGGCGTAGCCACCACCTTCCAGTCAAAGCACTGAATCATGGCTGCCAAAGTGGTGGGCATCTCCTGCATTGCTAAAGACATACTAGGGCAGCCCCTCCTCCCTGTACCAAAAGGCAACAGCTGATAAAGGAAGCCTTTAACATCTATAAGCCCTGAACCATCGGCTTCATTGGTTTTCAAGAACCTCTCAGGCTGAAATTTGAACGGATCCTCCCAGACCTTAGGATCCCTTCCTATACCCCAAATATTTACAAACAGCAAAGAGTGAGCAGGGATTGTGTATCCGTTGATTTTGCATTCCTCAATTGATTTTCTGCTGATCATCGGGATTGGAGGGTGAAGCCGAAATGTCTCTTTAATTATGGCTTGGAGGTATTGGAGCCGAGGACTGTCAGATTCTTCTGCAATCCTGCTTTTTCCCACAACTCGATCAATCTCTTTTTGAGCTTTTCTTAGCACCTCTGGGTGGTTTATGAGCTCTGCCAAAGCCCATTCAAGCGCACTTGCTGTTGTATCTGTAGCTGCTGTCAAAAAATCCTGCACAACTCACAAGTGTAGTAAAGATCAATGCTGCAAAAAAAAGCCGAACTTTAATTTATAAAAGACAAACACATGCACAGTAAATTTATTTTTTTATGTATGCATAATGTATTAAATTTGATAATTTTAAATATATACCATGACGAAAAATGATATGAAAAAATATGATTTAAATTTTTTGTAAAAATTATATATAAATTTAATAAAAATAAAAAAAAATGTTTTGTGTTTAGCACAATGATATGAATTATAATACGATAATTTTTATGTTTAATATGTATTTGATACAAAAATAGATACATAAATTGTCATATTTAAATGAAATATATTAAATCGTTTTTTTTTTTTTTTACATAAACATATTTCTAATTAATAAGTTATAGCAATCATAAGAATGGTAGAAAAGTTAAAAGCTGAATTGCAAAAGATAATTTTACTAACCAAGATTAAGGCCTTAATGTGATTTCTGGTTAACTGCATCTCCGAGTGGTCATCCTCCAATACATCAAGCATCATATCCAGAAAATCCTTTACCTCATCGTCATGATCATTTCCTTTGTCAGACTCATTTTTTCCCTCTTTCTTGTTTTTTCTTGATTCTTCTCGATCTCTTATAATCGTCTCCAACAATGCATCATATCTTCGATGTATGTCCTCAAATCTCTTTCGGAATCCCTGCAGATCCAAGTTCTTGCAAAACCATATGATGTCTAAGACATTGAATTGCCCGAAGATCTCAGTCACTTCTCGCACTAGAGTTCTAACCTCGTCGGCCGGGTTTCCAGTCCCCGAGCACCTTATGCTCAGCATCATTTGTGAGATAATGTTTTTGGTTAGTTTCAATAGCTCTTGAGTTATATCACAGTTTCACCTACTTTAGACTTTTCAAGCAGAAGGCTTATGAAATGGTGTAATTCCTTGGTTCGAACAGGAAGAAACTGGCTAAGGGTTCTGTTCCCCAGGAGCTCATATGTGCTCAACTTTTTTATGAATTTCCAGTATGGTCCGTAGGGTGCAAAGGCAAAGGAAGAGCTGTAGGTAAGGTGATTAATGGCAGCGGTGTGCTTGCGGGAAGAGAAGTTGAGCTCGTAGGTTTTAAGAAGCTCTTTGGCAAGCTCTGGTTTAGAAGCCACAACGCACTCAACAGAGCCAAGACGGAGATACATCAAGGGGCCATGGGTGGAGGAGAGCTTGTGAAAAGTTTGATGAATGAAGGGGCTGAGGAGGTGGAGGTGGAGGTGGCCGATAACTGGTAAGGCAACCGGCCCTGGGGGAAGCCTGGGACGGGTTTTGATGGAAATGGTTGCTTTAACTATAAGAAATGAAACAACGAAGAGGGTGGCATATGATAGGAATTGGAATATCATGATCACCTGAACTATTTGAAAGATCGGCAGAGAATGGTTTTTGATGATTAATTGGCTGAATCCACAGGCCTCTCACAAAGAATGAGCACCGATTGCCTTTCATTTATATAGATAGGATCAATCTATTAATATACAAGAACATTAATGGAAAGCACTTTCACATGGGTATAAACAATAACTAAGATACCCTACGTATCACGTTCCTATCCAAATTCTCAAAATTATGCTTATAATATCTGTTCTTTTGTCCTTTTTATATTTTATCCTTTTGCATATAATTAGTATTCCTTCTATCAATAAATAAATAAATAAAATAATATTGTCTCTGTTATACATACTAGAATGCATACCCGCACTATGTCACAGGGATAGAAATAATGATAATTTAAAAAATATGTATTATATTCAAAATAAATACAATAATAAATGTTGATTTGGATTTTCTTTCTAATGTATAAATCTTAATTGTTTTTCTTTGTAACACCAGAGGTTGTGTATATATATATATATAAAATATGCATACAAAGATTTTTTTATTCCGAGTCAATAAGGATAGAACAAGAAACATAGATAATTTGCGTTTTGGAAAAAATTGAAAATCAAAAAACAAAGACAACATTAGCTATGTTCTTGAGAAGCTATTCATTATTTTTGACACTATTTCACCTTGTACTGTTACCCTAAGACTTTCTCCACCACATAAATTAAAATTCAATAAGAATAAAACATTGATAAAATAAATTATGTTTTGTAGTAAATAACTATATATATATATATATGTATATACCTATTTTTTTATGAAAACTTTTCTTTTTACCAATTCGCTTGGTAACTTTCATTTGATCAGATTGATTATTGTTAGATTTATCAAATCTCAAACATGTACTATTTTCACTTTCATAGCTCGATTTTATCGATGAAAAGACAACAAAAAAATGTTGTCACTCAAAAAAAAGGCAAATAAAAGACAATCCAAATAGAAAGCAAACAATAGCTTCACTTCAAACTCACTTAGGAAAAATCTAATCCATCCCCCATACATTGTCAAAAAAAAAATTGTAACCTATTACCTACAAAAACAAACCAAAATGATATTATCGAGTTAAATGCAATCTTAACTATATTATATTTTATATATGAAAATCTTAAAGCACAAAAAAAAAAAAAACTTGATTAAGCTTGTAAGTAATATCATACCTAGCAAACCTAATGGGTAAGAACATCAACAGTTCCTACAATTCCCCAAATAAGACTTCCAATTTCATACTAAGATCGGAAGTCTTAATTCCCCAAATAAGACTTCCAATTAAATTGAGCCTTAATTAAATTGAACCTTATCAGTCAATTTGTCATCCTTAACAATAAAATTCCCCAAATAAGACTTCCAATTAAATTGAAAGCCTTAATTCATTGATGTTAAATATAAATTTGTCATCCTATGTACCAAAGAAAAAACAAAACAAACCCTTAGTTAAGCTACCAAACCATACAGAGTCAAACACTTTTCAAAATTGTCCATTATATTTGTAACCTCAGACATTATAAATAAACCTAAGGAAGAAATAATACTCTAATTACATGAGATATCAATATTTTATTAAAAAACAACACAACTAGGAAGAAAAGTAGATATTCGTTGTAAATGATAGTTAAACCTAAACTAGTGATTAGCCATGGCTAAAAAAAAGGATTAGAAAAACTATTAAAAGTTACACAAGGCTTATTCCTAGAATAACAGAAGAAGATTAGATTATAAAAAATAAATAAACAGAAAGGAAGCAAGGATGATATAAATGAATGTATGAAAAAAAATACCATAAAAATGCTAATTGATGGATCAATACGTTGAAAGGAAATGTTCTAGATCTATACGAAACAATCTGCCAAGATGGACTAAGCTATTTTTGCCTGTCAATATACATAATAAACTATGATAAGAAAATAAGTTTTGTGAATACTCTACTTTTTTAAACTTGTGAATGAGATTTGTATAAAGACAACCGATATCTGTTATAATGAAATATCAAAAAAAAGTATGAGAGGTTGAAAGGCAACTGATAACATTAATATGTTATTCAATTCCATTACATACCAGGTAAAAGCTAATTTATAGAGAAAATACAAACTAAAACAAAAATATATATTTAGGCTAACTTCTTTGGTAACAAAAAAACATACACATAATGATCAAATTTTAATGTGAAACAATTATGGCAATAATTTCATAGATAAATTAAGATGATGAAATAGGCAAATTTAAAGAGAAAATTGCCTAAGGGGCTAGTTATACAGATAGCTCATTCATATCCTAGATACAAAAATGGGCAAAAATGTACAGGTTAAGCATTTTTAAAGAACCATTACAAGAAATCTAACATATAGTGATGCTCCAAAAAGCATCAGTAAAACTCTAAAATCCATCAATATAGCACCATAAACCCTATATTGGTAATCAAAATGTGTATTCTGATGAATTTTTAACCATCAGTATATCTCTTTTCGGTATAGACCTATACTGATAGTTTTTAAAGGTATCGAAATAGTTTACAGAGATATACCAATGGTTCAGGACCGTCAGTAAATGTATAGCGGTTGGGGTAACATCTGTGTGTGTTCCACCTTATACCTTTTAGCGATAGTCAACACCCGTCAGTATAGACTTGTATGTTTTAACTTTTCCTGCCTATAGCGATGGTTAATGGTCGTCAGTGTAGACTTTACCTATACTGATGCTTAAAGGTTGTCAGTATAGATTTGTAATTTTTTTTTACCTATACTAATGCTTAGCATCTGTTAGTATAGACTTGTATTTTTTAATTTTCTTATCTATACCAATGGTTAGAGACTGTCAGTATAAAATTGTATACTTTAATTTTCTTACCTTTATCGATGGTTAGAGATTGTCAGTATAGACTTATATGTTTCATTTTTTATTATATTTTGGTGACTGTTAGTATTACCTAAAATATTCCAACGATCAAGTGTGTCAGTATAAATGTTAAGACGTTGGTAAATTTTTGTAAAAATTATATTTTTAATTATAAATATTAATTTATTTATAATCATAATATAATATGTTTTCATATAAACAAAAAAAAAACACAATAAAGTAAAAGATATTTAATAACATTAAAACTACAATTAAATTATTTATAATCCACAAACTTTGTATAAGTGAAAAACTAAAGTAATTGTACCAAGTCGATAAAACAAACATCAATAAAACAAACATAGATAAAGAGTTACATCACTTCACCTTAAAAAACACAATCATAAGTTTGCACCACTAGACACCTAAAGATCTTTTGATCACCTTAAAACTTTAATAGAACTTTGAACAAGATAATCTTAAAAAATATGTAAATGAACAAACAATTGCAAAACCACTTCAATAAGAAAAAACATACATGCACTTATTACAAGCCCTTTCCAAAACCAAAAATTTTCATTCATACAAAATATCACAAGTCTTGAAAAAGTTAACAAGTGTAGCTACATCATATAACTAACAAGTTCAATGAACCCAGCTCACTAACAGTATTTAATATACCAATTAAGCATAACAAAATACAACAGCCTTATTTCAACAAAGTGTATAACATCCAAAACAAAACCAAATCCCCCTACAAACATAATGCTCTGAGGAAATAAACAACTTCCTAAAATAAATGATCCCATCATAGATTTCTACAAAGAACCATCTGCATAGCATAAAAAAATCCAATTAGAATTCTTGTAAATTATCTTATATGTAAAGAAGGTAAGAAAGTAATCATTCATTCATATAGCAGTAGAAAAAATTTTATAAACATCTTATTCATTAGTGTAATGCATGAATGAACAAAAAATAACATAATTTGAATGTGTAATCTCTATATTCTTTTAGTTTAATTCCAAATAATAACTTAATGAAACCAACATAAGATTATTTTAGTCAACAGAACTATCATTAAACAAATATTTTCACTATAAAATTCAAGTCTACAACTACAAAGCATGCTTACATCATAAGAATGCCTTTTTAAAGAAAAAAAAAGACAAGAAAGCCTTCTCAAGAGAAAAAGAGCACGCTTTAAATTATAGTGTAATTTAATGATTATGGCAAAGATGATGGGTAGTGTTTCAAGATCATAATTACATTATTCAAAATTGATTTTGGCATTCTATCTAATATACAAGTATCAAGCAAAGCATTTCCACATATATATCATATGATAACGAGTTTACAATTTTCATTTTCATTAGGTTAATGACTTGAATTTAAAGAGCGATAATTTTCACGTGGGATTTCTAGAGCATTACTAGCATCAAAAACCTAAAAATAATTTAAAAGAAATTTCAATAAGGTTCAAGATTCATGAGCTAGATGACAATTTACATATATATAAACTAAAATAGATGTTATATATACCTCTCTATTCACCATGTGAGTAATAGTATTCAAGATATCCATATTCTCATTAAGAAATTATCTTTTAAGTATCGATAAGATAGTATTTAAAGTTTCTTTCAAGTTTTTAATTTCAACCTTCAACTTTTGTACTTCTTTTTTATGCTAAACCAATTCATAAGATGAATGACCATGTTGTTTAGATAAAGTAGATACTATACCTATACAACGAACACACCTTTTTCTCTCTGGTCCTTTAACTTTTGAATAAACATCATCTTTTCATGAACTCTTCAAAATTTTGAGCACTAGTTTCACTCAAACCTTATTTCATGAGTTCCTAAATTTGTAAACAAACATTTGAGTATAAAGAAATTAAACATAAGTTAAAGCAAGTAATAACTAAATTAAATACCATAATTTCAGCTGTCATGTCATTCACAACACTTCCATCTTTACATGTACAAGAAAGAATATACACCTCAGTACGTGATGGTAAAATTCCATTAGCTTTTTGTTTCTACAAAGGTATAACATTAATTATTGTAATGACAAAATCAAACATATAAAAAGTAAACTTCATATTCATTTAACTGAGTGCGAGAAGAAAATTGATATATGTACCAAGGTCTAAATGATCATCGAGAGTGATTTTGTTCTTGCGTAATGAGACTCATCTAATTTTGAGCGATTTGTTTTGTTTGTCTCACT